GGCTAGTGTTGCCATATTGGAAGTTTACTCCATAACGCATTTCTTCAATGTCCATCTTCCTTTCTGACGCAGGTGGTGTTGCCAGGAACAATTATGTCTCATTGTCAAGAAAAACCCTAAGCCATTTTAAATGCCATATTCTGTAGGTCTTTGAAAGGTTTGAAGAATGCCTATCTATCTCAAATATATCTCTGTATATCTAGAAAACCTAACTCACCTAGCTATAAGTTTTGACTATTATAGGTAACTATCTAAAATCTGTATTAAATTATACATTACATTTTTAAATGAGCTATATAAACACAATACATAAACAAGAAGAGAAATATACATATCACAAAATTGACCTTAAATTTGTATCAATAAATGAAATCCATTCCAAAACAAAGTATTCATATCTATACCATAATCTCCTTTTTACCTTTAAAAAGAGATTGGTTATGGTCATTAACCATTTATAACCAAGCCCAATTAAATGAAAACAAACATTTCTAAATAATATTTGGGAATTTGGGCGTCATTCTTTCCAAACTATTTCCTGCTGACAGGGCTGCTGTCATGGGGAAATCCTAAGAAGACGCAGAAATCCTGGTTGTAGTCTGCGAGGCTGCTTTGTCCAAGCTGTTTTGAATGTTGGATCACCAGCGACTCTGTTTCAGAGAGCCTGGCTTGATCAAACCACATTAGTCTGGAAGGAATCCACAGCCTTTTATTTTCTGTGGAAACAAAAAGAGAAATCCTTTTCCCCAGTAACTTGTCCTTGAACTTAAATTTTGGAGTCAAAGCATTTTTAAAATATGTAAATTGAATTAATCCACCAGTATTTCCTTTGACAGTTGTTTCCTCATCAATCAAATGATATAAAGACAATATAAAGTCATACAGTACACAGATTCTCTCTGAGCTTTTCATTTTTATGTGGCTTTATTATTACTCTCTTTCTTCTATTTTTTCATTTTTTGAAACAGACTATCTCTGTGTAACTTTTATCTGTCCTGGATTTACTCTGCAAACCAGGTTTACTTTGAAATCACAGAAATCTGCTTGCCTCTGTTTCCCGAGTGCTGGGATTAAAGGTGTGTGCTACCACACCTAGCTGTTCTCTGTCTTTTTAAAACCATTTTTTAAATTCTCTCCCAAGCCTACGTATTTTTTAAAACACACTGTAAACCTTTAGAGATTTATTTAATGTGAATCTGTCTTTACTGTGAATCTTTATCTTTTTCTAGCCACGAGTCTTTATCTGGTAAACAACAGCATTACTAAAATGAAAGTCACAGCTGTGTCAGCCACGGTTTATCAAAGATGGCAGTGGGTACCTTTACTGCCAGCAATGAAAGCTGTGGTCATTGCCCTGGTCAACGCTGCCATCCAACAGGCATGCTGCCGGCTTGGAGATGTGGTCACTGCCATCGCCATCTCTCATACACTCCAATAAATTGTTAGCAGTGCTTTTTTAAAGCCATGTGGTTTTTTGTCGCTTATGCTGAGTTAGGAGTCTTCCCTTAAAGGAGCCGCGGAAATTTTTGCTTGTCTCACACAAAACAGAGTGCAACCCAGAAAAATGGTGTTACCAGGAAACCTTGTTTGTCTCTGTTCTTTTGTTTTTAAAACCCCTTTTTAAGCTTTTGTTAAATTTTAAGGGGAAGTTCTTATTAGCCAAGTGGGCGCCATTTGTAAGGAGTACAGTTTTTTTCCGCCCGCCGCCAGTCTTGTCCTACCGCCGCACCAGCCCCAAATAACGCACACCGAGACTCTGTATATGATTTAATTTTGTTGGCCCGGTTGCTTGTTTCTTATCCACTAGCTCTGTCTTAAATATTATCCCATTTCTATGTATTTCCACGTGGTCTTACCAGCGAGAGGCGGCTGGCGGTTCTATTCTCTCCAGACTCTCCATGTTGACTCCTCCTTCCTACTTCCTCTTTCCTCCTTGTCTCCTAGTCCCTCCTATCTTCCTTTCCTATTGGCCAACAGTGCTTTATTCATTAACCATTATGAGAAACATATACAGAATGGCATCTCCCATCAAGTTTATCCTTTTCTTCCCTCACCTGTGTCCTAGGGATCAAACTCAGGTCAGACTTGTTGGCAAGGATCTCTCAACTGAGCTGTCCAAACAAAAATTTTAACATTGGCATACTGTAGTGTGTTTGTTATTCAATTGAATTATTTCCAATATTTCCTCTTTCTGTCTTGACCCAGGTAAGATTCTGCATCCATGCCTTGTTATTTTCTTTGGATTAACCCTTGTTAATAGAATGGTTATTGTCAAGACCACATATTCCCTAGAGGCTTCTCTTGCACATACTTGATTATCTTCTGTTACTTGCTTTTCTATTACTGTGATAGAACACCATGACCAGGGCAATTCTTAGAAGAACTCATTTGTTTAAGCTTGGGTTTCCAGAGAGTTAGAGTTTATGGTGTGGAGTGGAGCCAGCAGGCTGCAGGAGCTGATAGCTCACACCTCAAACCATAAGCAAGAGATGGAGTGAATATGGAATCACTTCAAACACTGAAAGTTCACTCAAAGACATACTAGGCTTCCCAAAAAGCATCCCCAACTTGGGATCAAATATTCAAATACCCTAGACTATGGGGAATATCCCCTTCATACCAAGACACATCTCGTAACTGCATTGACTAGCTTTTTACATGTATGACATAGGTAATTTATGTTTTTCATGAACCATTTGCCTATGCTCAGGCTCATTAAATTATGACCACTGAGCCTGTTTCCAATATCTAATAGAGTACAGATGGGTTTGGAGTTGCAGAAAAATAGTAGAACAAAAAAAGCAAAATAGAACAGTGTATAACAGAGTGGCCATGCCTGAAAATTCCTAAAATATTTATTTTCCTGACCAGTACAGAAAACGTTTTTCTGTTTCTATAACTTAGAGGCATAAAAAATGTATTTGTTTGGTTCTTATTTTTGTCATATTTGTTGCATAATTTCATAGAAACGTGTGGCTTTCTTTTATGAAGAACATAGATGATATGATGATGCTGTTTTAAAAAGTCAATTCTTATGTCAATAGTTACTTGTTAAAACGTTAGCACGAAAAAACTATATTTCCTAAAGAATAAAGATGTGTCTCACAGTTTGATATCTTTAAGGAAAAAGTGAGGTTATGTTATTATTTCTACCTTTATACCTCTTGGGTCATGGAAACAAAAATACTAAAGTATCCTGCTAGATTCCTTTATATGTGAAATCATATGCTCATTCAGTCATAAGATTTTATTCTTAGAACCCTGTAAACATGCCACAGTCATGCGTTTGCATTATTAGCGTACCCAATACATAACAATTATATTGAGTGTCATTCTGTGTTCTACATACTGTATACAGTATGTGTGTGGATAAACTCCCCCATTGACTTTTTAAGTTCTTTCACAGCCTCACATATCAATTTTAGATATTTTCATCCTCCTTCATTTCCTCCCTCCTCTATTGAAACCCTTCTCAACAAGTACCCCTCCTGCACCGGTTTCTCTTTCCATGTGTGCCCACTGAGTTCAGTAACAGTTACTTGCCTAAGCCCAGGTGGGATATTATGTAGTGTGGCTCCATTGGCTTCTTAATTTTTCATTTGACACCTTTTATTTTACTTCCCTGCTTGTGAATTTCCTCATTAATATTAACCTTAAATTGTTTAGTTCACAAGGTTATCATGAGGACCTGATGGTATTGTTCATTTATTTCTAAACCGTTACCCATTACAAAGAGGCGGTTATTGAATATTGGGCCAGTTTAAAGCTTGTGTAAATGACTGACAAACAGAAATATTCAAGCACTGTTGCCCCAGAGCTGTGGTGTTTATAAAGCATATGCAAACACAGTGGAAACAGTAGGAAATAGTATCTGTAATGTTTGTGGGTCCCCCTTTCTGTCCCCACTCCGTCTTCTTCCTCTTCCCCCCCCCTTTATTTTTCATGAATCCAGACTTGCCTTGAACACACTGTGTAACTGAGGCTAACCTTGAACTTCGATGCTCCTGACTTAACCTCCAGAGTGTTGATCCAGGCATGCACCACCATTCACAGTTTTATGTAGCTCCTGGGGATCCGTCCCAGGCTTTCATGTGTGCTTAGTGAGCACTCTCCCATCTGACATATCTCCAGGCATGTTTTGTGGACATTAAATTGTGACATGTACATAAGGTACTGAAGACATTGTCAGTTCTGAGCTCGATTTTAGTATTGTCTATTAATTTCTATAATTTTGGTTATTTCCATATTTTATCCCTGATTCTCTATACTATTCATAACTTCATAAGAATTACATGAGCATATGAGAATATAGGCATGTGTATGAAGAATATTATTTCTTTTCCTTGTCATTAAATTGAAAACCATGCTGTCGGAAAGTTGGTCTTCATAATGCCCTTTTAGCCCAGGGGTAGAGTTCACAGGCAGAGTGCTGGCTTAACATATGCAAGGAATATAAAAAAAGGAAAGAAATAAACAAATCCCAAACTGGGTATTGGCCAGAATGCCCTATGTGGATCACACTATCACTACCTACTTGCGTGTCTCTGGATCAGACTTCGGGATACCTACACTAAGAACACGGTACAGTGTCAGTAACAGCACCTGGACCATTTTCCAAACCAGCCGTGTCCAAGGGAGAAGAAGAATCCATTAACATTTTATCTTAAGTCCCCTTTGTCTCCTCAGACCAGAAACTCCCTTCTTGCCTTTAAAATCAACTCCCTGTTCTCTGAGTGTGTGGGGATCCTGGAGCAGTCACGTAGGGACACTAACTAATGTGACTCGGGGAACTGGTACCATCATGGATCAAGAAACTCTTGAATTTATGTATGCAAATAGACAAAAGAAAGAAGCTAGTCCAAATAGACTTTATTCATATCCAAAGTCATTTCCAATCTCAAGAAAAAATAGCAATCAGAATTAGTGACTACGTTTTTAATTACAATAACACTATCAAGGGAAATGGAATCGGAATCATTCATGTCAACCTTTGCTTTCAGGGAGTACGGAGCTATCGATGATGTAGACATTGACCTGCACATCGATGTCAGCTTTCTGGACGTAAGTATCTCATTTCCTGTAACGCGGCCTGCACATTTAAGGTACATTCATCTTTACCCCGAGGAACTCGGTTTTGCGTTGCTTTGTAGCACGGTTACATCCTGCTTTTGTTAACGTGATTTATGAAGGCTGATCAGTGAAGCTGGGAGAATACATCTTTTTTGTCGTTTTCCTATACATCCCGAAACGTCTGTGTTGTAATTATAGTGCCTCATTACATAGGTTCCCATCTCTATTTGTCATGTATAAAGGCTGAAAATGAAAGAATGCTTTGGTCTCCTTTTTTACACAGCATTGTTCTTTGGAATAATTTGTAGGCTCTTATAATTTATGGATCCCATTAGCTTAAGTTTAAAAGCTATGATTTTTTTTTTTTAAATTTAAGGTCTAAAAGATGCCAAACATATCTATTCAATATATTTGCAGGAGGAGATTGCTGTGGCTTGGGAAGTGATTCGAACCGAACCTATTATCGTCCGACTACACTGTTCACTTACACAGTATTTAAATGGCCCGGGTAAGGCTCACTTCTCTGCTGTTTTCAAGGTTAACTCTATACTGTGCTTTTAGCAAAGTGAGTGTTCGTTTATAACCCTGAACTTCAGTGTTAAGTACCTCCATAATGGTGTAGGTTCTGTACTAAGCAAGCTGATTTGTCACCCATATAATTAAGGGAGTAAAACAAATGATGCTAAACGGCATAGGCTTCCATAAAGTGAACAGTTTGTTTGCGGAAAAAAAAACAAAACCCCAGAAGCTTTGAGTACAATTGTGGCCCAGTATCTGTATGTTGAATTCACCTTAAGATTTGTTTTTACTTTTTTATTTTCCTGTTCATCCAACCCATGGCTTCCAGAGAATTTAGTTTAGAAAACGGGGAGCCATGGTAGCATTTTTGCTGTTTGAATTCCTGTAGGATAATGCTGCTGTATTCAATTGATTATTATTAAAAACAAAGGATTCTATCGTAAACAAAATTTGCCCAAACTCACCAGAGGGCTAAAATGTCTTTCTACTACCGGATGTGAATGTACACACACTCACACACACACACACCACGCAAACACACACACACACACACTCACACACACACTCACACACAGATACACACTCACACATACAGACACACACACACCACACATACTCACCACACGCAAACACACACACTCACACTCACACACATACTCACACACACACTCACACACACACACACACACACACCCATAGGCTTAGCTGGGTTAATTACAGGGCTCCTCCTCACTGCTTTTCAGTCAGGTGGGATGTGAAGCTGCAGGGTTTCACGGCCTCACTAAGTTGGAAACACATCTTGCTGGATATAGAAACAGCTCCTGTTGATTCAGGATCATCTGGCCTGTACCTACAGCCTCACACTTGACACATCCAGGTCTCTGGGCTTCTTTCACTGTGCTGGACAAGGTCCAAAAAGCATGTGTCTGGAGACAAGGTTTGTATGCTTGACGTTATCCCGACAGAGGTTGAAGCATATGGGGCTGTCAGGCCTGAACTTCTTCCTTCCTTCCTCCCTCCCTCTCCCCCTCCCTCTCTCCCTTCCTTCCTTCATTTCTTTCTTTTTTTTTTAAAGATCTATTTATTATGTATACATCGTTCCTCCTGCATGTACCCATGCCGGCCAGTAGAGGGCACCAGATCTCATTACAGGTGGTTGTGAGCCACCGTGTGGGTGCTGGGAATTGAAATCCGGACCTCCGGAAGAGTAGCCAGTGTTCCTAACCTCTGAGCCATCTCTCCAGCTCCCGAACTCTTTTCTTTTAATATTTAAACTGGGAATAAAATTGAGTTGTCTATGAGACGAAAATGAAGTCTGTATCCATATAATCGTAACACATACATTGACCACAACTGACTCCATCATCATGCATATTATCTGTCATTTCTCCTTATTATTCCTCATATCCATTTACTGGGTTCTCCTGAGGGAACTGTTTCCCCAGTAAGTTGTTTTCACCTCGGGTCTCCACCAGAGTGCTAAGCAAGGTCATGTGAGCAAAGTCCATGTGAGTTCACGTTGTGTACAATCAGGAGGACAGTCATGCTTGGAAACATCATTCTGAATAACTATGGGTAAAAATGATGGATATAATCCAAAGTAAAGCCCACTCTTACTATTGCGTCTGGGAGGAGCACAAAAGCACACACCCATATTACAGAGAATCGGAGACTGCAAGACTCTTGTCTTGTTTCCTTGGAGTTTCCTCACAAGCTCTCAGAAATTTTCCCGCACAGCTTCGTTCATGGACAGCGTTCCAACGTCAACCTCACACAGGCATGGCAGGAGAGGAACCTCAGCCCCTTGAGGGTAGAGAGACTCCTCGTGGTCGGTACCCTAGAACATATTCTCTCCGTCTTGTGGTTCGTTTGCCCTTGTGTGAGATGTGCTGGTGGCCTTTCTCTCACAGGCTGGGCGTGTGGAATCAGCCAGTAGGACCCTGGACGTCTGTTCAGACCCTTCTTTTCTATAGTACAATGTGCTTCTACTTTCTTCTACTTACTACATTTAACGCAAGAAAGGCCTGGTTTGGTTATTTTTCCCGTAATTCTCTAATACACTAGTTAAATTGCAGCTCGTTTGACTTTTATTTACATATCCGTCTCACCAGTAAATTCCACCAATAGTTACAACTTTCTTGTTGAAAATCTGGGGAAGAATTTGATTTAAAATGAACTATGGTGCATAACATATGAGTAGAGGTAGAGAGACTGTTTCTGATGAGAGGAGACACCCAAGTCTTCTAGGACAGAAAATTAGGTTTTATTCCTAACTTATGATTTTGATTATTGCAAACAGATAAAATGGTGAAAAAGAAAATCGCTCTGTATTAAATTTTATTCACAAGACAATGTTACACTATTTACATTAATTACATTATTTATTGTTTCAGAATTTCGTACATGCATGCAATGTGTTTTGATAAAATCTACTCCCTTCTAATTCCCTCCTTTCCACCTCTGATGGGTTTTCCTCTTAATTTCACATGCATATTCTCTCTCTCTCTTCCTTCCTCTCTCTCTCTTCCTTTCTCTCCCTCTCTCCCTCCCTCCTTCTCTCTCTCCCTCCCTCCCTCCTCTTCTGTCCCCTCAATGTCCCTCTCCTTTAAAACCTTCTGAATTCACTTAGTGCTTTTGCTAGTTGCTAATTGCATGGGCCATCCTCTGGTGCTTGGATATTCTCTTAAATCCTTGCAGAAAACACACACACACACACACACACACTCTCTCTCTGACAGTAGCCATCAATTGCCAGGATCTAGTGAGCTGGGGCAGGGCACTCAGGGAGTCTCTCACATGCATTCTGTGGTTTTGGTTGGCTTGATCTTGTGCATTTAGTCACGGCTGCTGTGAACTCATGCGTGCAACAGCCCTGCCGTGGCCAGAAAACACCGTTTTGCTTCATTCATCCAGAGGCTCTCGCTCTTACAATCTTTCTGCCCACTCTTACAAGTTGATGCCTGAGCCTTGAGAGGTGGCGGTGTCATCAAATGAGACAGTATTTCTTTGTGACTAATCCAAGATTTAGACTGACCTACTTAATTAACAGTTCTCCTTGTCAAGCTTTTACTCCTATGTTCTAGAAATGTATGAACAACACCAGCTTGAAGAATTTTACATTAAAAGAGGAGGATAATTTTTATTAAACATGCTTTAAAATGATTAAGTTTGTTATAGTAATATGTGTTGCATAAAATTGCTGACATGTAAGTCCTGTTCCTGATTAAAGGCATAAACCCTGTTTTGTTGGAAACGTTGGACAATTGTCATTAATAAGCTCCTTTGCTTAAATCATCTCATTATTGGTATCTCTGCACCTATGCTTAGATGATCAGAGTGTATATAATGAATTTTCGCCATTTTCACCGGCATTATCCTCTCTCTTCAGCATATTCCCTATTGCTGAGCCCTTCTTCTGACAACAGAACCCCCCCACTCAGATGTAGTGTATATCCGTGTGTGTGTGTGTGTGTGTGTGTGTGTGTGTGTGTGTGTGTGTGTGTATGCGTGTGTATGTCTCCCACTGAGTTTACTTATGATGTTTCGGATGAGCATGAATATCGCGGTAAATAAGGATCAGGATAAACAAATAGGCCGAATAGATGTTTATTCAGGGAGAAATAACTTACAACCTAGACAGATGAACACCAGGAAATTCAACCCGATCCTCTCCTGTCCAAGTCACGCCAGAAAAAGAGAGCCTTTCCTTGCCCCCTCCGACCTCCTTCCTCAGGTCACTTCCGCCCATGGCTCCACCCCCAATGGGCGTGGTCAGTGCTACAGAAGGAGACAAAGTGAATATCCCACTACACATGAATATTATGTTATTTACTAGAACATGGGCAACTTCTCAGGGTCTACACCACTGAAGAAAACATTAATTTGCCTGTAGACCTGTAGTTCTCAACCTTCCGAATGCCGCGACCCTTCAACACAGTTCCTCGTGTAGTGGTGATCCCCGAACCATAAAATTATTTTCATTGCTGCTTCACAACTGTAGTTTTGCTGCTGTTATGAATCATAATGTAAATATATGGTATGAAGATGGTTTTAGTTGACCTTTGTGGGCGGGTTGTTCGCCCCCCCTCCCCGCAGGGGTCCAGAGGGATCATCCAGAGGGTTGTAAACCCTCAGTGAGGGAGGGTAAGGCCTTCTGAGCAGGGTCTCAGCTTTATGCACATCCTTTGCAGCTAACTGCAGCTTTGGGGAGTCCATGAGTTCAGTGGCCAGGCCTTGTCCTGGAGTCTGTTTCTCAGTACTCTCCTTCCATCCCCTTTCTGGTCATGTGTCCTGAGCATTTGGCGTACTGCTGTAGAGATTCTGTTCAGGCATGGCTACTCCACAGACATCTCTCAAGCAGGGATATTTGCCTTTCTTATACAAGGATGTTTGTCACCGTGTCTAGTGTTATGTTTTGCCATAGCTGTGGCCTCCTTTCCCCTTCTCTTTTGGCGAAGCTTAACTATTTCAGATGAGTTTACCCACAGGTGCTGGCTTGCTTAGTCAGACTTAAGAGTTCTTAACTCATATTACTGGTTTTGAGGAAGTAAAGTCTTAAAAACATTGTTGAAATGCTTTATAAAATGCTGTTACAGTTAATGAAGGGAAAGTTTCCCTTTCCCCTCCACGCTGTTTCCCTGACTGACATTTTACATCAATTCATTAAATAGAATTAGTTACAGTTAATTACATTCATTTTTGACAGTATTAGTCATTTTATCACTTGATCTTTGAAATATTGTTAAGGTAGACTTCTGTGAACTGTTTCGGTATATGCTAAGTTTTGAGGTCACTTAGATTGTATTGCTAGTGACTGAGTGAGTCACTATTTATTATTCATAGTTTCCTTAAAATAATAATTTTAATGAAGTATTTACACTAGGTTTGCACGCAATGATTAGGTTTAAAAATTGCCTTTTTTACTTTTTAGAATTACCTGTAATACGTTGGATAAACATCATTGTCAGATGTTATAATTTTCTCTATGTATCTCACACATTCTCCACTGAAGCATTTTTTTTTTAATTCTTCTAGAGTCTTTAGATCTTGCTGTACTTTAAAAGTAGGCCAAGGCCCTTTAGATTTCTCTCCCTTCTCTCCTTAGTCACTTTTTAATCTGTCTGTGTGAAGATTTTACCTTTGAAATCTTAGGGAAAACACAGTGTGTTTCATTTTCTGATTTTAATTATTCTTATTTTACGAGTGTTTTGCTGCATATACGTCCGAGCCCCATGGACATGCCTTGTGCACTAAGAGGCCAGGAGAGAATGTCAGATCTCCCGTAGCTGGAGTTACAGACATTTATGAGCCGCTATGTGGGTGCTGGGAACTGAGCTGGGGTCCTTTACGGGAGCAGCAAGCACATTTAACCACTGAGGCGCCTTTACGGGAGCAGTAAGCACATTTAACCACTGAGGCGCCTTTACGGGAGCAGCAAGCACATTTAACCACTGAGGCACCTCTCTATCTACTCATTTCTTATCCTTTCCTTTGAAAAAAGTACTGAAAAAAAAAATTCAGGACTTTTCTTTTAATGAAGTCATCTCTTGTTTGGACACATGAGATGGGACTGATATGCACAGTGTCCTTCACTTTTACAGAAGGGTTAGACCATTCTCCAGGAGGGCATGGAGTCTTCCATCCCCGAGTGGGAGAGCGTGGGCTAAGCACCGTGGAACATGTGTGATCTGAGTGCTGTGACTTTTAGAAGGGTGACACTTGCTACAGACATCCCTTACTTTCCCTGGCACATTAACCTAGACACAGGAGAGAAGTCCCAGTCCCTACTTCAAATAACTTGACAGATTTACTTGACCCCACCTGGATGGCATAGCCCTACATGTGGAATGGGGGTGGGGGGGGTGGGAGCGGAGGGTGGTCAGGGTGCATGTGAGGGGGCAGAGAGGGTAAGAGGGAGGGAAGGAGGGAGGAAGGAAGGGAGGGAGGAAAGGAGGGAGAAAGGGAGAGGGAACTGGGATCGACATGTAAAATAAAAATATAAAAGTTGTGTTGTATAATAGCATGTTTCACTTGTAATTTTGAAATGTTCCCTGACTGTCCTAAGTGTGGTTGCTGGAACTATTGCCTATTTTGGGATCACTCTTCATATTTCTATACACTCTGCGTTAACATATGCAGATATTTACATCAATACGTAGCCTGTAATGATCTTATCTGTAACACTCGATGTAGTTTTAACAGTGCTGCCAAGGACAGTGTGTGTACCTTGTGTGTATAGGGGTGTATCTGCAAACGTACACTAATAATAATTCAGTCCTCATTTGTGGCTGAGTTCCAGGTCATTACTTAACTGTTTTCCCCCCTGTTTCCAGTGCCAACGGTTGATGTCTTTCAGATCTCTACAAAAGAGCGATTTGGATTGGGACATCAGCTGAAAAAGTAAGTTTGCTGAGGGGTAAGGACCGAATTGCTTTCCAAGAGAATGGAATCTGTTTTATTTTACTCAGTTTTTATTTGCTCACATCTCTTTCCAGCGAGTCCCTGGGGATAGGACATAGTCTTGGTGCAAAGTGCTGTGTCCACGACTCAGTTCTCAGAGCTCCCTTCCTAGCTTCCCGGGCCCTTCTAGCCTCTCTTCCTTCCACACGCCACAATCCACCTTTCTTGCTCATGCACACATGGGGCCCCTCTCTCTAATGTGCCCACCAGGATAGCCCAGGCCAGGAGATGGTTCCGTGATTGGAGCGCTTTCTCCTGCGGGGCTCATCTTGGGCTGGCTTGTTTGTCTTTCTGTCCTGCTGAGTGACAGCCTTTTATCACTACCCATTCCCAATATCCAGTTGGTGGTTTTTGCTGCTTATTCATGTGTCCTGGGGAAGGGAGCTGGTTAGCTCCCAATGTCTCTGAGCCATTCTTCCCCCGTATCTATGCCTCTGACACACTCCTTTGTGAGCTTTCATTCTCTCCCTTTATGCCTCAGTCCTTTATTAATAACAACTTAGTTTATCTCTTTGTAAATGGACATGGTTTCCCCCCTCAAACAAAGTAGAATTTATTTGAATAGGCAGATACTTTCTTCAATATGTCATCATTAGCATTTATGACCTACCATTTATATATATATATATATCCACTAAGATTCTGGCATACTTATTAATAGATGTGAAGCAGAAATGAACGATGATAGGTTGAGAGGTATGGAAAAAAGATGATCCAAGCTTTTGTTTATTGTACTCATAAAAATATCACAGGGGCTTACTTTTGCTTTGTGATTTTAAAGGCTGCTCTACCTAAAACCCTGGGTTTAGAAAAATGCAAAAAACATTATCTATAGAGTCAAATACAAGGGCAACACACGTTATGTCTTTGCGTAGAAAAGAACAGTGGTGAATTACAGATAAGAGCTGTTGACTTCTCAGCTTCTCTGGTCAGTTACACACTGTTGTGAGTGTAGACCAATCAGCGTCTCTGAAGTCAGTTACACACTGTTGTATATGAGAGGGTAGATCTCTCGGCGTCTCTGAAGTCAGTTACACACTGTTGTCTGTGAGTGTGTAGACCTCTCGGTGTCTCTGAAGTCATTTACACACTGTTGTATGTGAGTGTACATCTCTCGATGTCTCTGGACAGGTATACACTGTTGTTTGTGAGTGTGTAGACCTCTCGATGTCTCTGAAGTCAGTTACACACTGTTGTTTGTGAGTATGTTGACTTCTCGGCTTTTCTGGTCAATTACACACTGTTGTATGTGAGTGTACATCTTTCGGCGTCTCTGAAGTCAGTTACACAGTGTTGTATGTGAGTGTAGATCTCTCGCGTCTCTGAAGTCAGTTACACAGTGTTGTATGTGAGTGTAGACCTCTCAGCATCTCTGAAGTCAGTTACACATGTTGTATGTGAGTGTAGACCTCTCAGCGTCTCTGAAGTCAGTTACACAATGTTGTTTGTGAGTGTGTAGACCTCTCGGCATCTCTGAAGTCAGTTACACAGTGTTGTATGTGAGTGTAGACCTCTCAGCGTCTCTGAAGTCAGTTACACAATGTTGTTTGTGAGTGTGTAGACCTCTCGGTGTCTCTGAAGTCAGTTACACAGTGTTGTATGTGAGTGTGTAAACCTCTCAGCGTCTCTGAAGTCAGTTACACAATGTTGTATGTGAGTGTGTTGACCTCTCGGCTTTTCTGGTCAGTTACACAGTGTTGTATGTGAGTGTAGATCTCTCGGCGTCTCTGAAGTCAGTTACATACTGTTGTATGTGAGTGTGTTGATTTCTCGGCTTTTCTGGTGAGTTACACACTGTTGTATGTGAGTGTAGACCTCTCAGTGTCTCTGAAGTCAGTTACACACTGTTGTATGTGAGTGTAGCCCTTGGGTCCAGTGAGACTGTGTGGATCCTGAGCGTTGGTGGTTTGCCTGAGGGAAATAACTATGCTGTCTACACAGCCTCCTTTGCTGACCTTTCTTGCATTGGGAACGCAGTTCTGTATTCAGACAGACGAACCCCAGCCTTCCGTAAAAGGATATCAGACTTCTCTAGATGATTAGGAGAGATCTTTTCTTATCCGTTGACTTTTAACTGTAAAATATGCCGACAGATAATCTATACATCTATTACGTAAACCTACAACATGATGTTTCAAAAACAAACAGGCACACGCCGGGTGATGTTTCACTTTACAAATCAAAACTTTTGTCAATAATACCAAAATACAAATTTGTGTTTTCTAGTAAATCTTGGTGTTTTGTTTTTAAGGTGTTGATTTTGTTAGCAGCACGTAAAAATTATACAGTGTTGGGACAGCAGGTGGTAAATCTACACAAGTTCAAAACATCTATTTCTTCAGTGTCACATCTCTGTGATGAAAATATTCAAACTTAGCTTTTTGAAATACACAGACAGAACCCTTACCTGTGATCATGGTGTTGAGCTACAGTATACAAAACTTCCAATTCCAACCTTTTGTAAGTTACTACTCATTGCTCTCCACCCTCTCTACATCCTCTGATCACCATGGTCGTCCACAATACCAGTGCGTTTAGTTTGTGCGCAGGAGCAGGGTAACCTTTTTAGACCCTGCACAGAAATTGAACATGTGGGTTGTGGGGCCTTTTATTCCCTGCTTGGCCTCCATCCCTTTGTGAATGTGACCCACAGTCTAACCCATGACTTTGTGAATGGCAGGGTTCCGATACTTTACGGAATTGTATGCCATCTGCCCTTGCCCCCGGCTTCATTGTCTTGGTTTCTTGCAGATGAAGCTCAGGCTGGCCCCTCCAGTTATCAGTCAGCCTCCTGAGTGCTGAATGGCTGGTCTGCACTACCGCTCCAGCCCACGGAGTCATGTCTGACGGCCCTTAGTTGTTTCTGTCTCACGTCTATCTTAAATAGTGTTGCAGCAGACATGAGTGGGCAGAAGCCTCTTCTCTACAGATTTCATTTGTTTGGATAAATATTTACAGGTAGGCTTGCTAGACCACCTGCTAGTTCTATTTCAATAGTCTGAGGAAGATATGTTCTGTTTCTCATAATGGCTGTCCTGTCTGTCTGTCTATCTATCATCTATATATCATCTATCTGTCTATCTATCATCTATATATCACCTGTCTGTCTATCTATTTAATCTTCTGTCTAACTATCATCTATCATCTATCTGTATATCATCTATCTGTCTGTTTGTCCATCTATCATCTATCTGTCTACCTACCTTTTTTTTTTTTTAATTTTGGTATGTATGAGTCACACAGTTTTGTGGACTCAGTTTTCTTCTTCCAATTTTATGTGGGTTCTGGGGTTGTCAGGCTTCATGACGAGCATTTTTCGGTGTTGAACCATCTCACTGGTCCCCATAATGGCTGCCTTAACTTACCTCAAAACCATGGGTCCCTTCTGTGCACATTCCAGTCCTTACTCCTTGTCTTCTATCTTTAGATACGGGCCAAAAAGCTGGCTGAAAATATTGACATATACCCCAGTTAACTGTGGTCAGAATATAAACAATAAGTGCTGTACTTGTCAGAATATCAGCTTTTAGAACTTGTAAGGATCTTGAAGGACTAGTTACTCTTCCAAATCCATAAACTTGATTTAGTAAGAGCCCGTCAGATCCTCCGCCCTAATGCAGTGGTTCAGTTCCTGGATCAGGATGCAGCCCACGTCTTTTCCCTTTCAGTGTAATGAATTTTCATTTTCATCATATGCCAGCCTTTATTGAGTAATGTTGTAAGGGAAAAATACTTTAAAATCTTCTGTGTCCGCTTCCTTTTCACTGGTGCGGGCAGTCTTATGTGATGTCTGGGCTTGCCCATCCTTCAGACCTCTAGAGTTGCCCCACTTTTTCTGACACTGCACCAAGGTAACTTTGTTCAGATATGAATTATGCATGGTTGCATTCGAAGTAGGGGGAGCTGCTCTTTTAGCTGCTCAGTGTTGAGTCTGGATGCAGCATCAGGTAATTAACCCTTACCACTGAGGAATCTGCGTCTCTAAAGCTAAATTTAGATTTAGGGATGCTTCTTAGCACGTTATTGTATGCAGTGTTCTCTCTCAAAGATTCACAGGGGGGCATCCTCAAATGTCTGTTCCAGAACTGGGGGGGGGGGGGAGCTTCTCCAGTGAAACTGGTTTTATTTATATTTATTTTTCAGTTAGGCCCTGTCTCTTGGACGACCGTGACTTGCCCATCGTGGAGAGGAGATTGGGGGCTCCTCTGCATGATGTCACCTTGGCGTCGTTTATTGTTTTCTTTTTCCTTTCCCTGCTTTCTTTTCATTTATGATGTGTCTTTCACATCACGCATCTCCATCCCTGAATTTCTTGTTCTCTGCGTATCCGCCCTCGGCCCTTGTAACATATTCCCTCCGCCGCCCCCCCCCCCGCCCCTGCAGAAAAACTTAAGAGAAAAAAGAAAAACAGGGGGAAAGGATCTGTAGTGTGACCCAGTGGGTCGCATATTAAACCCTTTTGTCCGTGTATCTTTACTTGCGTGTGTTCACTGCAGAGTTACTGGTCTGGCTCAAGGCTTCTGTTTGTTTTCTGCTACGCTACCGATGCTGGGCCCTCACTGGGCCTTCTCTTGGTTGCCCTGTGTTGTGGAGACCCTGAAGCTTTGGGTCTGCAGGAACCGGCCCCTTTACATGCTCCAGCAGAGCACAGATAGGGTGGATATGGAGGAGGGCCAACCCATAACACTGGTTCTGGGCTTGGATAGGTGCAGGGGTGGTCGGCCCCACAGTTCTCCCTTGTCCTGACCACCGGGGTGAGCAATAGGCAGGGCATCGAGGGACTTGGGTGGGGGTGGGGGTGGGGGAGGGACATCTTTCTTCCATCCATGCCGCCACATGACAGGTAAGTAATGGGGACAGCTCACCCAAGCTCACAATATCTGTGCTTGCTCACCCAAGCCTCTGCCGAAGGCGGCGTTGGCTCAATTGTGCTGCCCAAGCAAGGTACAGGGTCTGCTCTTCCGAGTGTGGCAGCTGGCGGCAGACGGGGCAGCTCTCCTGCCCTCCTGAGCTCAGGGCAGCTCTCCCACCTGCCTCTGCCATAATGGGCAGGAGCGTGTTGGGGGAGGGGTTCATCTCTGCCTCACCCACGCTGCCCCGCGACAGACGAAGGATGGGGAGAGGTCTCACATGCTCGCAACTTAGGGGATGGCTCACGCACATCTCTCTCAACACTTGCTATGATGTAACTTGTCGTAGAAAAGCCACGGCAATTTCTTACATTCTGGCTTCCTTAATATGAAAACCCTTGCACAACCCTGACATAGCATTTCACTCACGGCCGTGTTATTTTCCCTTGGTAATGTGTTGTCTTTGCAATAAATACCCAAGTATCGGTGGGCACAGTATTGACTGGTGTGGTGGCTCACACCTTTACCCCCAGATTCCCAGTCCCAGGAAGACAGAGGCTGGGAGTTTTGAGGCCAGCTTGGTTTTTGCAGCAAGTTCCAAGCCAGAGCTAGTAGTAAGACGCGGTTTCAAAGCAAAACAGTCTCAGCCAGCAGGCTAGCTCCCCAAGCAAGTAAACAACATGCAGATGACACCCGGACTGCGCTAACTAACAGAGCCTTTGGTTTGACAGGATCATGCAGACCTTCGTTACTCAGCAGTGGAAACAGAGCAAAGAGAAATCCAGTTGCCTGCACGGTAAGAAGCTGTCAGAGAAGAAGGTGAAGTCTCCTCTGCATTTGTTTTCTACCTTGCGCAGGTTGGTAACAGGCATCTTCATCCTTGTCTCAGTGCTCAGCCCAGGGTCCCACGATGCCCGGGTCCAAAGGATCCTTTCTTGCCTAGGTGTCTGTTTTCTTTATGACTTCCGACAAAAGACTAAGTTACAAGCGTTCCACCAAAACGTAGATGTGCTTACTTATTTCCTCAGTCAATATTGGTAAAGTTTACTAAAGTTAGATTTTGTTTTCTCACGGGACAAAGAGAATCCTGCAAAAATCAGTTCTTTGTGGGGTTCTGGGATGGGTTGGAGGGAGAAACCATGCTGGGGTCTTCTTGTGTTTGTGAGACCTGGCTTCATTCCTGGGACCCATTCTCACCATTCTTTGGTCTGGGTCCTAACAGGGAGGCTGCTGGTGAGGTAGCAGCATATGTACCTTGGTTAAGTGGTGACACTGGCGTTAGTTAGGTCCAGTTTCCCCCCTGTGTTAATTGTCGCTCGTCTCCAAGGTCGCCCAGCTATCCACCCCCTGGTTGTGGCAAAAGCAAATCCAAACTGAAATCTGAACAAGATGGCATCTCCAAAACGCACAAGTTGCTGCGCAGGACTTGCTCCAGCACCGTCAAGGCTGACGACGTGTGCGCCAAGTCGCACAGGACATTTGGGCGCTCACTGTCCAGCGACCCCAGGGCGGAGCAGGCGATGTCCACCATCAAATCGCACAAACTCTTGGGCCGGCCCTGTCCGGCTGCGGGCAAGCAGGAGGACTGCCTCACGCTCAAGTCGCATAAGTTATTGACTCGCTCTTGTTCTGGAGACCCGCGCTGTGAGCACAACACCAACTTGAAGCCCCACAAACTGCTAAGCAGGTCTTACTCCAGTAATCTCAGAATGGAAGAGTTATATGGGCTGAAAAATCACAAATTGCTCAGCAAGTCTTACTCCGGCGCCCCCAAGTCATCGAAAAACGAGCATTTCAAGGAACCCAACGCAGAGGGCAGGAGGCTCTCGCTTACCTCAGGGCTTATCGGTATTTTAACACCATCATCGTCTTCTTGCCAGCCTCCTGTGCGTAAACATTTTCATCTTGCCTTCTTAAATGTAGCCAAGGGTCAGGAAATTTGTATGCATCTTTTTTTTTTTTTTTTTTTAAGAATTGGGAAAGGAAAGGCGCAAGGTCCATTTTATTTGTTTTGTTTTTAAACTTGCAGTGGGTGTTTTGTTTTGTTCTATTTTTGTTTTTGTTTTTGCGAGTAATTTACAACTGGCGCATAACAGTTAGGGTTGGTTCTGGGGGGGTGTGGAAATGTAATTACTAATTTGCTGTCTGGTTTGTATTCGTACCACTGAATTCTACTAAATTTTACTAAATACGAATTCAGTTAGATCTACAAAGGTTTTAATCTTTATTGAGTAGGTTATTTAATCTTTCACCACATGAGTAGCGGAGGACCACACTTGACTTATAACCAAGAATAATATTTCAGTTACATACTAGAGGGTTTGTGTGTGTGTGAACATCATGGTTAGTGATGATGTCTAAGAGCCTGACATGAAGATTTTCTTGATATCTGTTTTATGCTAGATCAGTTTCTTTTTTTGGGGGGGGTTGTCTGTGATTGGTATCAACTGTGAATCAGCCCTACACAAAATTTTACCTCCCTAGGGATTACAGCCAACTTCAGACAGACTTAAACTACACATGTAGTTTGCTGTTTTATACATCCATGTTGTGAGTGTCAGTTTAAAGATTCGTATGACTCAGCCATATGCAAGTTGACAAAAAACAAAACAAAAACCAAGAGGCTGAATTTAGGAAGTCATTCTTCCATAGATTTCCCCCTACAATTGAACACTACTGTAAAATTATAGTTGGTGGAGGGAAAACTTGACAGTCTTTATTATTTAATATGATGTCAATCAATCCCATAAAGGAATGTTTCCCATAATAGTTTCACCCCAGAAGGATAACTTCAGACAGTTTGTGGAAGAAAACAGATTATTTCCCATGTACTTATAGTCCACTAAGAGATTTAGTACTGGTCCCTTTGCTAGCTGCCATCTAATTTTCCTTGGAAGAATCATTGCAGCTGGTAAGATGTGGATATTTTAATGATGACATGGGCATTTTTTGATCAGTAATATAATAAACTTTCTCTTCATGTAATGATGACAGGTATTTCTGCTAAAAGTTGAGAAATTAAGAATGTTACTTTAGGCAAATACTGCAGATTATGCGAATATGGCAAAAATCGGCCCATAACGAAATTCAGTATTTTAATATCACGATAGCTGAAAATACATGGTCTTCTGCATTCATTTGTAAAAAAGTGGAAAAGCTATAAGTTCTGTATTCTCCCCCAATGAAAAGTTACTTTAAAAACAAAACAAAACAAAACAACTTTGCTTTTTATAGACAAATGGTGCAAAATGCATTCCCATCCGAGACCGCGGCTTCCTGGTGCAGGTATGAGTTCAGATCATCCACTGTGGGAACGCCTCACCCTTGCCGGGTTTTCACAGCATCTGGGAACCTCACTGGTACTTCTGTTTGCATCGTTTCCCTTAGACAATTGAGTTTGCTGAGCAGCGGATCCCTGTACTGAATGAATACTGTGTGGTTTGTGACGAGCCACACGTGTTTCAGAATGGCCCCATGCTTAGGGTGAGTACCCACCTATTGATTGAATTCCCGTGTTAACATGCAACATAAGTGTAAGCATCCCAACAAATGCCATTTAAAATAAATATTTCCTAGGACAAACTAATATATACCAAGTGGTATCCTTTGGATGGAACTGCAGTTAGCGTTACTTCTGGAAGCATCCGTGTTTCCCACTAAGATTGTGTTCCTTATGTTTGTCTTCTGTTTCTATATCTCCATTTCTATATTGGCAGTCCTGTAAACTGTACATTTATGTTTAATAACACATAGATTGTGGAAATAGCTTCCCCGCCCCCCCTCTGTCTCCCTCACTTCCAAATTAAGAGAAACAGAAGTCTGTTTTATTGGTGGTCCTCATGGTCTAAGGTGCAGTTTCCTGATAATCTTTCCGAAGCGTGAACACAGGGTATCTTTCACCTACTAAGATCTTTTAATTTTTTTTTTTTTTTTGCATCTGAATTCTCTATTTCCTTGGATAACCTTTTATGTAAATGAATTGTTTTATTTCATTTGCAGGTGGTTCCTGCTAGTATAAAGTAGTAAAAATGACTTGTGTAGATTACCCTTATATTCTGTAAGTTTGCTGCATTTCTTTGTTAGTTCTATGTAAATGGAGCTCTTCATTGGTCTGGATAATAAATGCTGAGAGATCAGAGAGAAGGAGCAAACCACAGCCACCCCTCACCACCTTAGCATCTCAGCAGACAAGAGAAGGGAGTTCCTGTTTCTCCCTGCGTATATCCTGTTTCCGCCCAGCTACCTCACTTCCTGTCTGTCTGTACAGACCTCCAGACCTTTATGGTTAGCTAGTGGCAAGCTCCATTCTCTGATGCTCAGACAGGCTTTGTCTGTACAAGCAAGACATCACCACAGTTCTAATACGTTGGTTTTGGTGTCTTTAATGACCCTCCATAGAAGATATCTTCGTTTCTTTTTCCTGTTGCTGCAGTACTTAAGGAAGCCTGGTGAGCCAGCTCACTGGTCCACAGATAATCAACGTGTAAGAAGAAGTGAGTTACTTGTGGCTCGTAGATTGGAAGGTCCTAGCTCACCATCAGTTCATTACTTTGACGTATGACGTGGTAGCGAATGAATGACTGCAGGCAAGTGACAGAGCAGAGCCGTACAACCCCTGTCCCAGGGACAAGAGAGAACAGAAGTGGTCTAGACCCCACAGGGCCTCCTAAGCACACACACCGATAACCCAGTAACTCCACTCTAGGCCCCAGCTCTCAAAGCTTCCACTGTCTTCCTGAAGGGAACGCCCTCTTTCAGCACGTGTGTCTTCAAATACAAACTACAGCAATCCGCCTCAAGACAGAGGACTGTTGATGTATGTGTGTGTGTATGTATGTATGTATGTATGTATGTATGTATGAATGCATGTATGTTTGTATGTATGTATGTATGTATGTATGCCCTCATTGCATTGACCTCTTTACTCCTGTTTTTTATTTCCTTCATTTTCCTAACTACTATTGAAAGTGGAAGTACTAACTTCTCTTCTGTTGGGCTGTCCATTCCTAGCTACAGTCCCGTCACCATTTCCCTCATGTGTTTTGGCATATGTATTGTTCGACAAGTGTTTATGCAATTATATTGCATATTCCTGATGTTTTGTATCCGCTGTCTCTATTAGTAGTTTTCTCTTCAAGTCTGTTTTGTCTCATGGTATTGTAGTCTCTACAAGTTCTTCAGTCCCCTCCCACCTCCGGCCTTTCTCCTCCATTCCTACTAACAAGAAAGGGACGTTGACTTCCTGTTTATTTTCTGTATGCGTTATGTCTACCCCTATTCATCTGTTTCTATGACACTAACGTGCTAAACAGCTGTTTTCTAGGATCTCATTTTAATTCCTTTCTTATAACATTTTGACCTGTTTCCATAGTAATATTTAGGATACTGAAATTACCATTTAAATTACAAATCTGGTTTAGATTAATTCCAACTTGATTTTAATAACATGAAAACCTTATTCCTACATATCTTTGAAAAAATATTTATTAGTGTGCATGTTACAATGATATGCGGATGACACGCATGCCATAGCAAATGCGTGGAGATTAGAAGACGACTTTGTGACATCTGTTTTCTTCCTTTCCCCTTCAGTGGGCTGCAGGGTTGAAAATTATCTGGCTTGAAGGAAGTCCTTCACTGGCCAAACTCAAGTTTCACATGCCTGGTCTTCCTCCCTTATGTTAGGATGCACAAAGACACACTACTTCCTGTGCTACTAACATAGATGGGAAATTATTTCTTTATGTAGCTTGCTTTTAAATTACTCAGAAACCGATCCAAATGTGTAAAATAAAAAATTATGTGTTTATGCAGTTTTTGTTTGGTTGGTTTTGGTTTTTGAGACAGGGTTTCTCTGTATTGTTTTAGAGCCTGTCCTGGAACTCGCTCTGTAGACGAGGCTGGCCTTGAACTCACAGAGATCCCTCTGCCTCCTGAGTGCTGGGATCAAAGGCATGAGCCACCAACACCCAGTGTGTGGTATATACAGTTCTTAAGCTTTATTTATTTATTTAATTTTGCCATTTCAGGTCCTTCCCCATGCTCATTATATTTTTGTGCATCCTGTATAAGGCTCTTGGAGTTTCAGCTTGAAATATGTCTTCATTGCTTCCTGAGGGACAATTGCACAAATAGTGACCTCTCAGATTTTGTTTGAGAATGTTTTCGTTTCAGGTTTGATGGCCAGCAGTGCTACTCATAGAATTGTTTGTTAAGTCTTTTCCTTGCTTTGATTTAGATTTCTCACCTCCCTGATACTTTGTGTCATTACATACTTTCAGTGTTCATGGCTTCGAAAGAGAAAGTGTGTGTGTGTGTATGTGTGTGTGTGTGTGTGTGTGTGTGTTCAGCAAGATTCCTTATATGTATGAGCTGTTCACATTGTTTCTTCTGTCATTGCTTTTCATTGATTTTCTGTAGTTTTGCTTTGATCTTTGTTTCTTTTGAGACAAGATCTCTCGCAGTGGCCCAAAGTGGCCTGGAACTTCCTGTGGAATCTAGGATCTTCTGATGTTCGTCCTGTGTTAGCCTCTTAAGTGCGGGGTTTACAGTGTGTGCATCGCCAGGGTTTGCGGTGTTTTGATTAAGGCATGTGTGTATCACTGTGTGTTCATCCTAGTGCAGTTCACTGGGCTTCCGTGAAGTACAGGTTAACAATTTTTCCCCCACAAATTTGCTATTTTGGGAGATGCTTCACTGAATATTCTTTCCACATCTTTTTCTTATCTTTCAGTACTCCATCGTTACTAATGCGTTTGTGTAAGATGGTGTTGAGCAGACCTTTGTTTATTTCCTTCATTACTCTTTTTGTTGCTGAAGTTGCACATCTCAGTTGGCCTATATGCAAATGTCCATGACCTCCTCAAATACAGTTACAGCATCCCTCAGTGAGTTTTATTTCAGTTTTTATAGTTGTCAACCCCAGAATTTATTTCCTTTTTAAAAAGTTCCATCTATTGATTCTTTTGAAATGCTATCTTTATTTAGATAGAGTTTGGTTTGGCTCTTTAATCATTTTGTAAACGCTGTTCAGTCTAGGTATCTGTGATTTTTTTTTTTTTTTCAGGACTCTTTGAATCAATCGCCTTGCTCCTATACCTGAGCCTTACTTTAGCATTTCTTTGCATGCCTTATTCTTTCTTTATTGGAAGATAGATGTCCTGAATATACTAATGAAGCATCTTCTGAATCAGATCTCTGTCCTTTTTAGGATTTATTTCTTGGCAAATTATCATCAAAAGTGCCTTCCCACTTCTTGGCAAGGGCTTATGTTTGTTGAGCATTCCTTTAATACTTAGCCTGGCTGTTTACAGTTTTGGCCTAGCCTGAATTTCCTGTTTGTAATAACAGAAGCAGCTAAAAATGATATTTAATGGCATCTCCTGATTTTTGTTTGTTTGTTTTCTTTTCTCTTCCTCCACATCCTTCTCCTTGTTCTCCTCTTCACCACCCCCTTTTCCCTCTACATTAAATATGTGGCCAGCCAGAATTTCTGTTTCGTTCAAACTGGCTTCAAACTTGTGGCAAACTTCCTGCCTGAGCTTCTATAATTCTGAGAATTTTTGTCACAAGCCACCATGACCGGCTACACATTTTTCTTGAGCACAGTGAGTCCCGGCCAAGTCTGTGGCCTTCTGTGTTCCCGCGCATGCATAGAAAGAAGCCCTTCAGAGTCCTCACACTTCTTGTCCTTTCTAGTCTTCCCTCCAAAGCAGTTTTTTTTTTTTTTGTTTTGTTTTGTTTTAGTTTGTTGTTTGCCTCGGTTGTTACTTCCTGTCCCAGTAATGACCAAAACACAGACTAATGTTCCTTCCCAATCCTGGCAGTGAGATTTAGTCCTGGCTGAGTTTCAGGTCAGGCAGGAACAGACAGTTGTTCTGAGCTTGACTTCAGAGAGCCATCGGATTGGTTCCACAGTAGCCCTTAGGGAATTGAATGCCTTGCATTCTGCTTCAAGTTTTAGGGGCCAAGGCTTAACTGTTTGTTTGGAATAACTGAGCTGGTTAAGACCATTTTTTTGCTAGTTTTTGTTTGTTTGTTTTCTTTTTCCTTTTTTAAGTTTTTATAGGGAAATGAAAGGTTGGGTTTTCGTTAAGCCATTTTTGTTGGTATCGGCTCTCATTTCAGTGTTTGAAAAAATATGCATTCTACTCTGCCTAGGTAGTAAAATCCAAGTTTTAGTTTGAGGAACAGTAAAATGTAGTTAAATATGAAAGTGACGATTGACCTAAAGTGTGTTCTGAATATTTATTGAGGAGGGGAGGTCACTTCCCGCTGTGGACCAGGTACTGTGTGTGGATAGTTTGCTTACCGAATCCTTACTTGATGTTCTCAAAATGCTAGCCATTTACAACTGTGGGTCAAATAAGTTTTTTTTTGTGTGTGTGTGGGGGGGGGGGAGGATTTTACAGGGATTAAATAATTTGTAAACACCATTCAGATATCGTGTCTGGATGGCAAATTCAACACCATTCAGATAGTGT